CCTGGTGCATGGCCGATGTATGGAAATGTACCGTATCCAGATGGACCTGCACCAGCAGCCCCACCAATGCGAAATGCTACGGAGCTGCTAACTGCCTCTTCATATGGCATACTAAGGCCTACGCTCCCCACCTTCAGCAGTGGAAGGGAGAAGGATTTACACCCTGTCTGACCTCACCAAATGGTTGCACAGCAAGTCTCGGGGAAAGCAGATTGCAGGCCAAGCTGTAGTCATATACAGAGGTGACAAGAAGGGGAAGTTCCCACAAAAAATGGAATCAGACCCCTGCGTTCTGAGGCAATTTCTGACCACTAAAAACAGATTTTTTTTTAGCAAAAGATCATCTTTTAAAATCATTTATGAGTTTGGAGTCAATGAATCAGCTATTTTGAGTTATAGAATCATTATAGCAGGCTACAATTTTCATTCAGGAATGAAAAAAAAGTTTGTGTGTGTGTGTGTGTGTGGGGGGGGGGGGGGGGGAACAAATGATATGATATCCCCCACTTTAAAAAGGGGGGGGGGGGGAGGGGACATGCCTACACGTGTCGCCAAAGGACAACCTTAGTGTCAGATACCCAATCAATAGAACGTTTACAGCAAACAACCTATGGAGGAAGGAGACATCTGTGACCAGTGGCTCACTTGGGAACATGAGTTCTGTGACCTCCCTCTTGTCAAACTGCCACACAGCACCTGATGTCAACAAAGTGAGAGCCAACCGCCAAGTACATATCTTCTGTGATGCATCAGAATGAGAATATGGATCGGTAGCCTTTCTCCGTTCCAAAGATGACAAGGGAAATATCCATGTCAGCTTTCTCCTGTCATGATCCCCAGTGGCACCAAAACGACAGCTGTCAATGCCTCGCCTTGAGTTATCAGCAGCCCTTACTTGTGCTCAGCTAGCGGATCTACTAAGCAAAGAGCTTATTCTACCCATCCAGACTGTCATTCTTTGGACTGACTCAACTACTGTCCTTCAGAGGTTGCAGTCAGAGTCGTGTCGATACAAAGTTTTTGTTGGCCCACAAGTATCTGAAATTCAGACCCTAACAGATGAGCAGAACTGGCACACTTATATTAAATAGCTCACTCTTGTTATACAGAAGATTGACCCTTTGACATTTGTTGCTCCTAATACATGTACCTGCCCAATCCCCAAGACTCTGCGGTTATGAATGGGCTACTGTTTCCCAAGTAGAACCAGTCTCTGCATGGGCTAGAGTATAATATTATATGAATTATGTAGGTTGGGTCCAGGCTCGGAATGTGGATGAAGTAATGTCTAGGTTTGCCTTGCCTAGGTTTCAGACAACAGTGGTTTCTTTATTCCTTTTTAGCACTGCCAGGGTAACTGGTGCCCTTCTGTTTATATGCATTATGTATTTAGCACTAGATTTAGGGACCATTTAAGCCTTGCTCCTTTGTCTCATTCTCACACTCTTTCCTTTGCCGATCAGTCCATGTTATTTTCTCCAAAAGTTATCCCTGTATTTCTCCAATTTTCCTTTAATTACTCAAAGCCGTGAGAGCTTTGTGAATAACCACGGCTTCCACGGGTAACCTGGTAACCAAAACACAGTAATCAATGCCAACACTGTAACCAGGCCATAGCTCTTCCAGGTCAAATAAATACAGTCCACCAGTGAGCCTCAATTACCATTTGCCCGTGTACCATTACACCCTGTTTTCAATGAGGATTTGCCTTCAACTAGAATATGTAAGTCTTGCTTCAACTAGAATATACAGGGTGGATAAAAAAAACCGAGATATTATTGCTAATTGGAAGAGAAGTAGGGCACATGTGAATCAAAGGGAGATATCTTCTGTTAGGGTTGAATCTCCTCTTTAAAATGACACCCTGGTCATGTCATTACATTCACGAGTGACTAAGCAGTGACCAATTTTATGAAAGGGTCTATTTAGAGATTTGGGCCACTTTTCAATTGTGGTTTTGTTGTGTCAATTGTCACAGAGAGAATGGCTATTGTTGCCAATCAAGGCAGGAGGAAAAAAGAAGAGATTTCACCATGGAAAGTGGCGTAAGTCTCTAAATAGACCCTTTTATAAATGGAACTTTCATGTAGTGAATATGATTGTCTTCTTGAAGATGAGCTAGAGGTGACTATTCAAGCAGTGGAAAGAGTACATGGCGGTAACCAACATCAAGAAGCTTGGAATGGCATTAATGACAATTGTGGGCATAAGAATGCTCAAATATAGCCTTGGTCAAGGCGCTAGTTGTTATTCATCCGGCCGTAACGCGGTAAATGATATCTTCGCTAGTGCTATGCATGCAGTCATATGTCTATGCATGCAGTGCTTTAAAAATACAGCGTGAACAGCGACCTCACGCGGCTATTATTTTTATGCAAATCAGTTGGACCCAATCTAGCGCCTTGGTTCAATCGTCCATGTGAGGTTTTGGGGGTGGTGCTCATTATGTTAATAGCCTTAGCTGACCTGAAATGTCATTTTCTTATTGGTCGATCGTTGTGTGGAAACTTGCATAGTGAAACGTGGAACTGTACATAATCCATGCATGTACACATTGTGTATCTCTGCACACGGCACCAATGCACAAAAACTGTGGTTCCTGTCACGTCCGCAAAAGGCGAATAGCTGCAAATAATTTGACGACGTCCGGATTTACCAAGGTGTGATTGGACACTCCACATATTAGCCCCGCCTACACTTATCTGTATTTGCATACGAGGTTGTGCGCTAGAAATCCAGCGCAAAATAAAGAAAAACATAAGCTTTTGCCGACGATTGAACCAAGGCACTAGATTGGGTCAACTGATTTGCAACCAAAGAAGAACGTGTTACCACACTGCTCACACATGTGTAATGGACCAGGATGAGGAGATCCCCCTACTGTCTTCAGGGACTTGGATATTGATGACAATCATTTTACACTTGCTGAACTTATTAAGGCTAAGGTCTCTCAAGGCTAAGGCTTCTCTCAAAA